TAAGAAGGACAACATGTAAAGAAAAAGTTCTGTCATATGCCATGCAGCTAGACACAATCTTCTCAAAAAAGAATCTTGACTTTCATTCTCCTCCCATTCTCATAAGTTAAACGTATAAAAACATCAAATACATTTTGTCTAATGCAACTACCGTACAACATTCTCATAAAAACAGTCTCGTCTCACAATTTAACATTTTTTCCATTGTAAATGTTTTACACTCCTATTGACACAATACAGTGGAACTCAGATTCAAGGAGCTCGGATTCAACGAGCTCAGATTCAACGAGAACTTGGATTCAACGAGATGAGATAGATTCCCCATTTTTTTCTTCTTTAAAAATCAATAAAAATAACCCGGATTCAGCGAGCACTTAAATCAGCGAGCTCGGATTCGACGAGGAAGCTTCCTAGAAGTCCGGGCATTGAGCGTCGCAGATACTAACGCGTCAGTCTTTTTTTCCCCCTCAGTAACAGATAATCATTACAACGATAAGCTAGTCTTGACGTAGATCTACGTAATGAATTGTGCGCTGGTCTATGGAATCAAGAGTTGCCGTATTCTAGGCTCTACACAGCAACACACCTTTTTGATAAACAATCGAGATGACACAGGGATGTGTATTTGAACAAATCTGTCTTTTTTTTTACACATCTCATAATATGCAGGCATTTCAGACACAACTTGTGACTTCTCTTTATACATTACTTGCTCAGTGCCTGTAATTATCTACACAAAATCTCGTGCTAGCTACAACGAACACTCAAATTCAACTAGATTATAGGCCAGGCCAGGCGACCTCGTTGAATCAGAGTACCACTGTATAGATAATTTAGGACACAGCTCAACGCACAACTTTCTCCCATACAATCTGCATAAATGTTCTATGAACGGAACAAAAATATACATCAATGTTTATACCTAGAACATATTACAACTGTTTGTTCCATCAATGTCTGTGCTAGAACAAGACCCACACTTTCACCAGTCACCTCCAATATCTACATTAAGCACCAGACTCTCTCACTAGTCACTGTATGCCTCTCCACAAAGTACAACTCTCTCTCATCAACAACCGTCTGTTAAAAAAAACACAGCTATCTCACCAGTCAATGTCTGTTCCTACACCAAGTACCCGACTCTCTCACAGTCAATCTGTACACTGAGCACCACTCTCTCAAACAGGAACGTTGACCTCACACACTAGGGCTGGGATTATACAGGTACTTTGATACCCGGGTAATACGTAATACCCAGGTAATGAAAAACATACCCAAATACCCGTCTGCACACTAGTTGCTTCCATATATAAGGACATTGATATTGAAACTATAAGCCTAGCCCTACCAAAGTATGCCATCAATTCTTGGAAACTTTCTTATAACATGCCTAAATGTGGCCTTTTTGTGGTCTGCCGTTTTCCAGGGAAAGGAGGACGGTACGAGTAGTGGTGGGCACCAGTCGATATTGGCCAATATTGAGTACTGTATCGACTAAGAGAGCTCACTATTGATAAGTACTCAGTACTTATTAAGGTTCAAATGAAGGGACGTAATTTAAGTGCATTTTCATAGCATTAACGAAGGAAGTAGAAAACCTGGGTACCCGACACCAATACCCGGGTAGCCAGTTTTGAGCTCTTTACCCGAATACTCACCCAGCCCTATCACTCACTCTCTCATATAGGAACGTTGACCTCACTCACTCTCTCATATAGGAACGTTGACCTCACACAATCTCTCATATAGGAACGTCGACTTCACACAATCTCCACAATCTCTCATATAGGAACATTCACTTCACACAATCTTTCATATAGGAACGTTGACCTCACACAAGACCAGATGGTCCACGGTGGAGCCCACCAGGAGGCGCCGGTCAAACACCACGGCCGTGGATGAGCCAGAGACCAGCTGACCGTCGTCGTAGAGGAGCTCGGTGACAGCCGTGATGTTGCCTTCTGTCAGCCTCAGGTGGAGGACCTGGAGAGGGGAGGGGGGGGGGGAGGAGGAGGGGAGTGGGAGGTGGGGTGGGGTGGGATCGGAGGTAAGGGGAGGTAGGGTGGGGAGGGGCGAGTTGAGGGGAGGTAGCACGGGGTGGGATGGGGAGGGGTGGTGTGAGATGGTGTAGGATGGGGTGGGATGAGATGAGGTGAAGCGAAAAAAGGTAGGGTAAGGAATGGTATAATATATTTTTTGTCCGTTTGTCAGTGTAGTATCTGTTTGTTCTGTGCAATTCCCAGCTTGCACTATATGCTTCCCGGGAAGACAAGAATGTTTCCCAGTGTTCCAGGGTCTGCTGGAGTAATAACAGATGTAAAGCGCACACAGTATGCTGTTGAGCGGAGATACCCGCTACACAAATGCAATTCTTCTTATTATTACAGTAGTCTCCGCCTAAGATCCCACCGCTTACAATCCCGGTTCGCTTAAGATCACGCTGTTTTAAGAAAACAGAATTTTTACAATACAAAAGTCACCCCTAAGATCCTGCTCTGATTCACTCGGAAGGTCTACATTCGGCCAAGATCCTACATTTCAGATCTTAATTTGCGGAACAAAAACCCGGGCGGGACAGCCAATCAACCAAGAGTGAAAAGTTGAGATCAATAAACTGTCTGTCGCGTCGAAGATCAGCCACTATCGTGAATGTGATCACATACACGTTGTAAACTTGATGAAGCGATACAATGTTTGCCCCAGACGGGATCACACCGGGGTGTGAACTGACCGACACGTTTGTTTTCCCCGAACATCGCACTCACACCTGAGCTCTTCCCCTAAACTTACATCACTCGCTGGGTGGGCAAGGCCTACACGTTCGCTCCAGGCGGGATCACATTGAACTGTGAACTCTTCCCTGACCATTGCAGAAGTTGTCTCTACTCCCGAATTTGTGAGATAGACTGGGGGAGGAGGGGGCTCGGTTAGAGATGGAAAGCTATAAATTTTCGACAGGGAGGGGCAACTGGATAAGCGTAGACCTTGAGACTCATGATAGGATAATAAGTGAAAATGGCACGTCTCATCCCACTATACACTGTGATAGGTTATCAAGGTTAACCACTCTTTGTTCGCCTTACGTCATAAGCCCACCAAGCGGTCACGTCAGTTCATTTTAGAGAGGAGGGAGACCATTTTACCGATTGTGAGCCTTAGCATGAGTCACCATAGATTCTTAACTGGGTTAGTCGATTAAGATCCCGGTTCGCCTAAGATCCCGCATTTCCTTGCTCCCAAGCACCGGGATCTGAGGCGGAGACTACTGTATTATCATTATTACAGTCGACTCCACTTCAGTTGAACCCGCCTGAGTTGATCTTCAGTTAAGTAGATCTTTTTTTCTCAGGTCACTGCACCTGTTCTTCTAAAAGACCCCATCGGTTAAGTTGAACTTCGGATAAGTTAATCTTTTTTCCCCTCCCCCGATGACAACTCATCCATAGTCGACTGTATTATTATTATTATTATTATTATTATTATTATTATTATTATTATTATT